TGGAGTTAATAAAAGTATTAGTCAGAGGGCAGAAGAGGGGTTGTTGAGGTGTTTGGTCATTTAGAGAGAATGGATCACAGTAGAATGACATGGAAAGCATAAAATCTATAGGGGAAGGAAGGCGGGGTAGGGGTCGTCCTCGAAAGGGTTGGAGAGAGGGGGTAAAGGAGTTTTGTGGGTAAGGGCTTGGACTTCCAGCAAGCGTGCGTGAGCGTGTTAGATAGGAGTGAATGGAGACGAATGGTACTTGGGACCTGACGATCTGTTGGAGTGTGAGCAGGGTAATATTTAGTGAAGGGATTCAGGGAAACCGGTTATTTTCATATAGTCGGACTTGAGCCCTGGAAATGGGAAGTACAATGCCTGCACTTTAAAGGAGGGGTTTGGGATATTGCAGTTTGGAGGGATATGTTGTGTATCTTTATATGTTTATGCTTCTAGACTGTTGTATTCTGAGCACCTCTGCAAAAACAGTGATAATGTGCGAGTGTGGTGAAAGTGTTGAATGATGATGAAAGTATTTTCTTTTTGGGGATTTTCTTTCTTTTTTGGGTCACCCTGCCTCGGTGGGAGACGGCCGACTTGTTGAAAAAAAAAAAAAAAAAAAAATATAATCATTATTACAATTATTATTACTCGACTATCTACACATACAGATCTGCTGCTGCTTAGATTTTTTCTAACATGCTGGCCATTTCCCACCAAGGCAGGATAACCCAAAAAAGAATAAGAAACGCTTTCACCATCATTCACACTATCACTGTCTTGCCGGAGGCACATAGGTACGACAGTTCACATGGTCCTCTAAACAGCAAATATTCCCAAACTAAATAATTATTATATTTACACACAACTTGTATATTATGATGTAAATATTCCCATATTTAGTATACAACTTAAGATGTTAAGCTTACTCTCAGTTAAAGCTACTCAAAATTTTTTTTTTAACCCTTAAACGGTCCAAACGTATATATACGTTCACTCGTGTAGCGCCCCAAATTTTTTGAGGAAAAAAGAAATCTTTTCTTTTAAAAGGAAAAAAGAGCATATGGTACCCAGGCATCTCCAATTATTTTAATATGGAACACAGTGAGTGCACACACCCATTCTCTCATGTCTAGGTGACTCAGGTTTATTGTGGCAATGTTGAATGAATGACAAAGAAAACGTATATATACGTTTGGGGTGCTACGCACGTGAACGTATATATACGTTTGGACCGTTTAAGGATTAACAAGTCGGTCGTCTCCCACCGAGGCAGGGTGACCCAAAAAGAAAGAAAATCCCCAAAAAGAAAATATTTTCATCATCATTCAACACTTTCACCTCACTCACACATAATCACTGTTTTTGCAGAGGTGCTCAGAACACAACAGTTTAGAAGCATATACATATAAAGATACACAACATATCCCTCCAAAGTGCCACTATTCCAAACCCCTCCTTTAAAGTGCAGGCACTGTACCTCCCATTTCCAGGACTCAAGTCCGACTATATAAAAATAACCGGTTTCCCTGAATCCCTTCACTAAATATTACCCTGCTCACACTCCAACAGCTAGTCAGATCCCAAACACCATTCGTCTACATTCACTCCTAACACACTCAAGCGCACTTGCTGGAAGTCCAAGCCCTCGCCCACAAAACCTCCTTTACCCCCTCCCTCCAACCTTTTCGAGGACGACCCCTATCCTGCCCTCCTTCCCCTACAGATTTATACGCTCTCCATGTCATTCTACTTTGATCCATTCTCTCTAAATGACCAAACCACCTCAACAACCCCTCTTCAGCCCTCTGACTAATACTTTTAGTAACTCCACACCTTCTCCTAATTTCCACACTCCGAATTTTCTGCATAATATTTACACCACACAGTGCCCTTAGGCAGGACATCTCCACTGCCTCCAACCGCCTCCTCGCTGCAGTATTTACAACCCAAGCTTCACACACATATAAGAGTGTTGGTACTACTATCCTTTCATACATTCCCTTCTTTGCCTCCATAGATAACGTTTTTTGTCTCCACATATAACTCGACACACCACTCGCCTTTTTCCCTTCATCAATTCTATGATTAACCTCATTCTTCATAAATCCATCCACTGACACATCAACTCCCAAATATCTGGAAACATTCACTTCTTCCATACACCTCCCCAATTTGATATCCAATTTTTCTTTATCTAAATCATTTGATACCCTCATCACCTGCCACATTACTTCCCTATCCACTCTATCATATGCCTTTTCTAAATCCATAAATGCAATAAAAACTTCCCTACCTTTATCTAAATACTGTTCACATATATGCTTCAATGTAAACACTTGATCTACACATCCCCAACCCACTTTAAAACCTCCTTGCTCATCTGAAATCCTACATTCTGTCTTACTTCTAATTCTTTCAATAATAACCCTACCATACACTTTTTCTGGTATACTCAGTAAACTTATTCCTCTATAATTTTTACAATCTCTTTTGTCCCCCTTCCCTTTACATAAAGGGACTATACATGCTCTCTGCCAATCCCTAGGTACCTTCCCCTTTTCCATACATTTAAACAAAAATACCAACCACTCTAACACTATATCCCCCCTGCTTTTAACATTTCTGTCATGATCCCGTCAGTTCCAGCTGCTTTACCCCCTTTCATTCTATGTAATGCCTCACGCACCTCCCCCACACTCACATCCTGCTCTTCTTCACTCCTGAAAGATGGTATACCTCCCTAGCCAGTGCATAAAATTACCGCCTCCCTTTCTCTGTCGACATTTAAAAGTTCCTGAAAATATTCTCACCACCTACCCAATACCTCCACCTCCCCATCTACTAACTCCCCTACTCTGTTTTTAACTAACAAATCCATCCGTTCCCTAGGCTTTCTTAAATTGTTTAACTCGCTCCAAAATTTTTTCTTATTTTCATTAAAATTTCTTGACAGTGCCTCTCCCACTCTATCATCTGCTCTCCTTTTGCACTCTCTCACCACTCTCTTCACCTTTCTTTTACTCTTCATATACTCTGCTCTTCTTATAACACTTCTGCTTTGTAAAAACTTCTCATAAGCTAACTTTTTCTCTTTTATCACACCCTTTACTTCATCATTCCACCAATCACTCCTCTTTCCTCCTGCACCCACCCTCCTATAACCACAAACTTCTGCCCCACATTCTAATACTGTACTGCATTTTTAAAACTGTCAATGCCACTACTTATACTTGCACCAGCCCACCTTTCTGCCAATAGTTGCTTACATCTCACTCGAACTTCCTCCTCCCTTAGTTTATACACTTTCACCTCCCTCTTACTTGTTGTTGCCATTTTCCTCTTTTCCCATCTACCTCTTACTCTAACTGTAGCTACAACTAAATAATGATCTGATATATCAGTTGCCCCTCTATAAACGTGTACATCCTGGAGCCCACCCATCAACCTTTTATCCACCAATACATAATCTAACTACTTTCATTACGTTCTATATCATACCTTGCACATTTATCCTCTTTTTCATAAAATATGTATTACTTATTACCAAACCTCTTTCTACACATAGCTCAATTAAAGGCTCCCCATTTTCATTTACCCCTGGCACCCCAAATTTACCTACTAATCCCTCCACAACATTTTTACCCACTTTAGCATTGAAATTCCCAACCACAAGTACTCTCACACTTGGTTCAAAACTCCCCACGCATTCACTCAAAAATGGGAGTGAATGGCCAGCAATAGTGACTGTGGTATGTACAGATGATAGTTTTGTAGTGACTGCAACAATAAAAATCCACTGCCGACCCAGTGGATTTTGTTCTGTATATCTGAGCATGGTCAAGTTAATGGATGTCTGTTAAGTTGAAGGTATAATGTACTGTTCACTCACTCTCGTAGCATTTACGTCAACCCTGGACATAATGGGCCCCTACAAAATGGAGTTTGGAAACGCAGCACAAAATCTGCCTGGGTTGCTTGATTCACAACCAGTGGACAATGTCTGGTGTCCACATAATTATCTTTATTGTTACTATATAAAGGCAAAATAATCTCAGCTCTATCTACCATTAATACCATTACCAGCCTCTATTGCTATATTATATCAAAGATTTATTACTGCCTCGAGCAGCAACAGCCTGGTTGACCAGGCAAGCACCAGTCAACCCTGGCCCATGGGTGGGCTCCGAAAGTAATGAAATGCTTGAAACTCTCCAAAGGTATATCAAAGGTAGGGTATATTATTATTATTATCATTATTCTAGTTTAGAGTGCGATGGGAGAGTATCAATGCTTCCCATCTTGGATATGAAAAAAAAAGAAAAAGATGGTGTGTATAATATACCAAGACAAAATAGGACAGTGCTGTGAAGAGGAGAAACTTTTACTGGAGGGAAGTGGAGTGATGTGATTACCACATAAGACCAAAAGATATGGAATATATAGAAACCATCAGTAGAGTAGTGAGGTTCTAATGTTAGGTGGAAGAAAGCTTAAAAAACAAAAAGTACTCCCTAATACTTAATATTACCTTAAACATGGCTTTGAATTTTGTATGTTATTGGTAGTATTTAGATTATTACACTTTCGGATGCCAAAATGCAATTACAACTAATAGTTAACAATTCTATAATTTTTTAAAAGAGCATAAAACTGGTTGATATTCACAGTGCTAAAGTCAAGGCGACTTCAAAGATCATGCTATATTTGACACCATTGGAAATAAAATTAGGAAAGCTACATCAACTAAAAAAGGCAGAGCAAAGAGGCATCTGATGTGAGTAAAGGGAGAGACCATTACCCCCCATGCACCAACCCCCTAGCTATACCACCGGAAATCCCAGCCCACTAAGTCAACAATAAAAAAAACTGCAAACTCGAAAACTTGAGGCCAGTGACACCTTGTGATAAGACACTATTGCTTAAAACATGCACTACTGAGCTTAACTCTTACACACCATCTTGCAATAAGTACTAGTGTCTAAATCATGCGTATTACTGAACTAAACACTTACACGCCACATTGTACTCAATCACAAGAAGGTTGGCACCGCTGGCAAGACTAGCCGCTGACGATCTCACTATGCTGCCCAGTCTTGCGCGCAGTACGTCTGATTCAGAGAAGTCTAGCACACGACTTGTGGCCAAGGAGGAAACAAAGGAAGTGGAAGCCAGTGAAGAGGACGGGGCCATTGTAGTGAGCAAAGAGGACGTGGATGGAACTAAATTTACCGATGAGCAAGTGGGACCAATGAGAGGCAGGTTGGGTAGAGGTGTGGATGATAATGACAATGACGATGACTCTTTAGTGATGACAGCGCTCAAAGGAGCTATGGTGGCAAGTGAGGACAGTGGCGAAGTAAGAGAGATGGTGGAGGGAGTTGCTGCTGTGTTTACAGAACTTGTGGTGGAAGGAATACTTGATGAGGTACTGGTGCATGTAGTGGTGGTGATGGTGGTAGTGGTTGTAGAGTAGGTAATGACCGTGCTTACAGAGAGAGATGCAACTCTCTTCCTATAACTGGACGATGTGGTGATGCCGACAGGCAGGAACGACGCTCCTCTGCTTTCAGGGTGTGAAAGAGATGGGGCAGGTGTGGCATTGACAGAAGCTGGAGGCAGAGAACTTGAAACAGCTGTTACAGACTCAAGGACAGAAGTAGGTTTCAGAACTGAGGCTGGTGAAATGGTAGACACAGATGAAATACTTAGTGTTTTATTAGCGACAGATGAGGAAGAGGACTGTGAATGAGCAGGGGCATTAGGATCATTACAAGATGGCACTGAGAAGGGAAAAGATGAAGCACTAGTTGTGGCAGTGCCCCTGGTGACCGGCACTGTCCATGGCAGAAACATCAGTAAGTTTGAAAGAGCCACAGCAGTGTTTAATTGAACGAACGCAGAGGTCAATTGCGTGACGGAGCAGTCAAGTGAGCGGCACAGCGTCAGGATAGCCAGGAGAACAGCACCAGCCATGTAAACAGAGGTAAGTAAAGCTGTATGTTAGAGTACAACCACACAATACTATATGTTAAGTTTATCTAGCCTCTCACTACTAACCTACAAATTGAAAATCAATTTTATGGCTCGTCTTCAATTTGCCGGATGGCTGTGAGTCGTTCTAGCCACATTATTGTGACATTATTATTATTCATAAAATCATCATAACACAATTGCAAACAAACCGTGGAATGGGTGGGGTTTAAACCCATGGCCATAGGTTTAAATCCTACCCATTTTGCAGTTTGATTTATTATTCTTCATGTGACAATTTCAGCCCTAACACAGCTCATGTTAGATCTAGTCAGATAATACCTGCTCATTCAAGGTAGACATACATTTCCTTGAACTTAAACAAAATAAGCATAAATGCTTACAGAAAACATCTTACACTGCTCATGGACATAACACAAAAGTTGAAATACAGCATAGCCCAGTGCTTTTCAACTTTTTCCAGAGTGGTCACCCTTGGAAAGCTCTCTCTTAAACTGGGGCACCCTGTTACAAGGCCAGCCAAGCATGCAATACACAGGTATCAGATCAAATAAAAAATAATAAATACATTTATAAGAATCACTTGTGCTTAGCAACTTTATTATATATATTTTTTTAATTATTTTTTAACACTGTCCCTCACCGAGGCAGGGTGACCTGAAAAAGAAACGCTTTCACCATCATTCGCACTATCAAATTAAGATCAATCATGCTTAACAAAATAAAAACAAATTCAACTGACACACGAGAGTTCGTGATCCAGTTAACGACTTTTTTTTTAGCAGTTGTAGTTCATGATTCAACTTATTTAGAAAAAGGAGTGATGTCTTTTTTTAAGAGTGTCTTTCACTAGTCTCGGCATGCAAAAAGCAGCTTCCTTTTTTTTATTTTGACATCACATGAGCTGAAAATTATTTTCCAACGAGTATGTGCTTGGCACATGCACAAGGACGGTCGAGGCTTCCTTGGCCAGTCAGGTGATTGGGAACTTTCAGGAGACATGCTCAGAAATTGTAATAATATTGGTAGAATTACCGACAATATGTTAGGTAAAAGGACACAAGTGCAACTAATGTGACATTTTATTGCAGCAACGTTTCACTCTCCAGGAGCTTTGACAAAGCTCCTGGAGAATGAAACATAACCACAATAAAATGTCATATCAGTTGCACATGTCCTTTTACCTAACACCCAGAAATCTCCACAGTAGGATGTTTTAGCAAAGACAGACATGACGTCAAAAATCTACACTTGAATCGAGAACTTCCTTGTTTTGCACATGAGGTGATTGAAAGTGCTGCATCGACAAAGGATCCGTTATCCACTTGGAATCCTCCAGGAACTTCATCTGTTCTCCGGAAAAATGCAATTCTGGGGTTTCCTCTAAGAAAGAGGCAAAGTGCATTGATGGGTCTTCTTATTTTTGTGGTGCAGGCGGTTTAGAAAAACCTACAAGATAAAGAATGATTCACTTGTGCAATACTTGGGAATCTTTATTGTCAGTCCAGTCCATCAATCTTGAGATTGATGAACTGAACATACAGACTCCAGGCTGAGGGACTGATTCCCTCAGACTCCTCCTCATCTTCCACTGTTCTTTTCTATATTGGACTGAAGAAGCCACTGGCTAGTGAAACATCTCCACAATAACAATTCCCAAGTGTTGCACAAATGTCTCATTCTTCAACTCATTATTTCTGACGAGATCTGAAGAAGTTTTCTCTCACTTTTACCATTTGTGGAATTGATTCATTCTCAGATGAACAAAGTTCAAGTCTTTGAAACAGCTCTGTTAATGATGGTTTTATCTTAAACACCTACACCTTCCCATATCCCAAGTTACTAATACCAACTTGGGAAGGTTGGGAAGAGAGATGAGCAAACGGAGAAGGTATATAGCACTGCCCCCATATCACTGTACCGAGCTGGGTCACCCCTGGGTCACCTATGCCAGCTGGGCCATCCTCTAGTCCTCACCTGGGTCACCCATGACAGCCAGGTCACCCCGAGCCCTTGCCTGGATTACCCCAGGGTGACTAGTCACCCTGGTTGAAAAGCACTGTGCATAGCCAACAAATGGTCTAAGGGTACATGCAGTAAAGGGAGACCTTTATTAGAACGATGTTTCACCTTCATGTATTTAATACAGTCTCAAGTAGGTCAGACTTCATTCAAATAAAGCTCTTCTTCAGCACATGCCCTCGTAATACTTAAAACACTAATACAATGTTATAAGTTTCTGAACTTCTAAAATCCTTCACTGGCTAGATAAACATGATCCAATGTCATTGGTTATTTTAATAACAAAATGATCCTAGAGAAGTTAGTGCAAGTCTATTATAATTGTGTGCACAATACGGTAAGCACTCTTAGAAGATGTTAATGGGTGCACTTGGGTCCTGGTGGGTCAGACAGACTCTTTATTCTCCCCAAACACTAAAAATTAGCAATGAATAAATGGAAGGATGGACGAAAGGCTTGAACTATGGTCCATCAATTGACAGGCCCGTGGTACAAGCCTCCCGTTCATCCGTTCATGTATTCACCAATGGTCATCGAGACTTAATCTGAGTTTATTAGCAACAACTCTCAACCTACAAATTGGAGATCAGTTTCTAGACAACATTTTGGTTCGTTCTCAATCATTACCAAATTGTGGGACGCTCGTGGCGGACCAAAACATCATCTCAAGTCTGTTGTCAATTTATGGGTCACTTGTGAATTGTTAGTCACAATATTGTGACTTCTTTATTACCAATATACCACACACTTGAACTATTATTTTTACATTAATAAAGAAGTGCTAAACCAGTAGGAGGTCATCCAGTGCTTGGGGAGAAGGTGGTAACTGGGTTTGTTCCAAGAGATATACAGCTCAGATTCCTTGGATCTGAAGCCCTTCATCAGCATGACCCGCAGAAGAATATCATGGTCTCTCTTATTACACAAGGTAAATATTATCTAACTCCATCATACTTCTATTATCCATTATATCTATTATCTATTAGTAATGTGTAGGATGAGCTAACCATTAGGCTAGGTGACATTTCTTGACAAATATTTAGCATTACAGAATCTCTGCAAACTAATGCACGCTCACCCACATGCAAACAAAAACTGACACAGAGTGAAGTGGGAGCTGTAGATTCCAACCTCTGAGGTCCTCTTCAGCAGGGAAAGCACAGAGAGAAAAAAGGTAAATATATGAGTTTGCACATCACTGAAGTGGATGGTCTCTCATTTTGAATTTTCCTCCTTTGTATTTTACCTTCTGCAGAGGGCCTCATTTAGAGGTAGAAACACAGTACCTATTCTCTTCTCCCATGTTTCCTTTCATCTCCATAATGGGTGTGTGTTACTAATGACCAGCGTTTGTGCGACTACCATCATATCCTAAGCTAATTTTGAGAATATCTAATACAAGTATCCCACTCAAGAATCAACATAGGTCACAATTATATTTTTTTCCATTCTTAAAGTTAGTTTAGTTAATGATAGTAGCAGCATACTAAACACTGGTCAATAATACAGGTATCCCCTTAAAACAATCATCACAAGCCAATTTTAAATTTTTCCTGAATCTAGTAGTGTCTTTTCCCACTGATGTTGAGTTGTACCAGGGTAGCTGAAGACCAACTCACCAGCCGTCGGTGGTGCTCCTGGGGAACTGACGCTCTCGCTCGTCTCACTCACAGAACAGTAGCCTGGATCTATAACAAAGTACAAATCAAACATTGTAGATGAGTGGTGTGAGGCAAGATCAATTATTGAAGCTTAACTGCAGTTATTCATGTGTTTGTTTTCTTTTACAGTACTCAATTTGTTTTAAATAGGCACACAAAATATTAGAGAAGAGCCTCATCAACAAAAGAACAAACTATGTACAGTGGAACCTGGGTTTTTGTCTGCCCTAGTCTGTATGTAAAACTATAGTTATTCTCTATAAAATGTACTTTTTGTTAATATTTCCCATAAGAAATAATGTAAATCCAATTAAACCATTCCAAACACCCAAAAATTACTAACAAAAAATACATTTTATAGAGTGGGAGAGGCACTGTCAAGAAATTTTAATGAAGGTAAGAAAAAATTTTGGAGTGAGTAAAACAAGTTAAGAAAGCCTAGGGAACGAATGGATTTGCAAGTTAAAAACAGAGTAGGGGAGTTAGTAGATGGGGAGATGGAGGTTTTGGGTAGATGGCGAGAATATTTTGAGGAACTTTTCAATGTCGACGAAAAAAGGGGAGGGGGGAAAATTTTCTTTGCATTTGGACAGGGGGGGAAATACCACCCTTTTAGGAGTGAAAAGAACAGGATGTGAATGTAGGGGAGGTTTTGGTGAGGCTTACGTAGAATGAAAGGGGAAAAGCAGCTGGAACTGACAGGATCATGACAGAAATTTAAAAAGGGGGGGGGGCAGTGTTGGGTTTTTTTTTTTTTTAAAAAAATGAAAAAAGGGGGGAATAAAGGGGGGGGGAAAAAAAATTTTTTAAAAGGGGGGGGGGGAAAAAAAAAATTAAAAAAAAGGTTTTAATTATTTAAAAAAAAAAAAGGGGGGTTATTATTGGAAAAAATTGGGGAAAAAAGGGGGGGGGGGGGTGAGCAAGGAGGTTTTGGGGGGGGGTTTTAAATTTTTTTTTTTTTTTTTTTTAGGGTTTTTTTTTTTTTAATTTTTTTTTTTTTTTTTTTTTAAAAAAAATTTTTTGGTTTTTGGGGGGGTTTTTTTTTTTTTTAATTTTTTTTTTTAAAAAATTTTTTTTTTTTTTTTTTTTTTTTTATTTTTTTTTAATTTTAAATTTTTTTTTTTTTTTTAACCCCCCTTTTTTTTTTTTTTTTTTTAAAAAAAATTTAAAAAAATTTTTTTTTCCCTTTTTTTTTTTTTTTTTAAATTTTTTTTTTTTTTTTTTTTTACCTTTTTTTTTTAAAATTTTTTTGGGGGGTTTGGGGTTTTTGGGGAAAAAAAGGGGGTTTTTTTTGGGGGGTTTTTTAAAAAAGGGGAAAAAAAAAAAATAAAAGGGTTTTTTTAAAAAATTTTGGGGGGGAAAAAACCCCCCCAAAATTTTTTTAAAAAAAAAAATTTTTTTTTGGGGGGGGGAAAAATTTTTTTTTTTAAAGGGGGAAAAAAGGGTTTTTTTAATTTTAAAAATTTGGCAAAAAACAACCTAGAGACGCAGAAGCATGATAGTCCCTTTATAAAAAGGGGAAGGGGACAAGAGAGACGTAAAAATTAAGAGGAATAATTTTTTACTGAGATACCAGGAAAAGGGTAGGGGTAGGGTTATTTTTGAAAGAATTAGGGGTTTAAAGACGAATGTAGGATTTAGATGAGCAAGGAGGTTTTAGGGGGGGGTAGGGGCTGTGTAGATCAAGGTTTTACTTGAAGCATAAGGTGAAAGTATTTAGAAAAAGTTGGGGAAGTTTTTATTGCTTTTTGGGATTAGAAAAGACATATGATAGAGAAAGGGTTTGGGAACCCCGCAACCACCAGGGGAAGTACTACCCTGCCAGTGCTGTGAACAAAAACCTTAACTGTTTTGCATGATGGTAGGATTGCTGGTTTTCTTTTCTGTCTCATAAACACGCTAATAACAGGGAAAATTTTGCTACCCCTACTTACATTTTGGTCACACTTCACAACACGCACATGAAATTTTATATATATACATACATCTAGGTTTTTCTCCCCTTTATTCTAAATAGCTCTTGTTCTTTTTTATTTCTTCTTTTGTCCATGGGAAGTGGAAAAGAACTTTCCTTCGTAAGCCATGCGTGTCGTATGAGGCACTAAAATGCCGGGAGCAATGGGCTAGTAACCCCTTTCTCCTGTATACATTTACTAAAAAAGAGAAGAAGAAAAACTTTATAAAACTGGGTTGTTTAAATGGGGCGTGGATTAGGCGGATGACAAGAAACACATGATTGCTGATGTTATGAATAAAAAGGGAAGTTGGATGTCCTGGCTCTAAGCGAAACAAAGCTGAAGGGGAAGGAGAGTTTCAGTGGGGGGAAAAAAATGGGATTAAATCTGGAGTATCTGAGAGAGTTAGAGCAAAGGAAGGGGTAGCAGTAATTTAAATGATCAGTTTTTGAAGGAGAAAGAGAATAGAATGGGGTAAATTCAAGAATTATGTGGATTAAAGTAAAGGTTGGATGCGAGAAGTGGTCATAATAAGCGTGTATCACCTGGAGAAGAGAGGAAAAGCAGAGGAAGAGAGAGATTTTTTGGGGGATGTTAAGTGAATGTATAGGAGCCTTTGAACCAAGTGAGAGGGGTAATTGTGGTAGGGGACCTGAATGCTAAAGTAGGAGAAACTTTTAGGGGAGGGTGTGGTAGGTAAGTTTGGGGTGCCAGGGGTAAATGAATAATTGGGAGCCCTTTGATTGAACTTTGTATAGAAAGGGTTTAGTTATAGGTAATACATATTTTAAAGAAAAAGAGGATAAATAAGTATACACGATATGATGTAGGGCGAAATGACAGTAGTTTTTTTGGGTAAAGTATTGGTAGATAAAAGACTGTTGAGTAGACTTCAGGATGTACATGTTTATCGAGGGGCCACAGATATATCAGATCACTTTCTAGTTGTAGCTACACTGAGAGTAAAAGGTAATGGGATACAAGGAGAATAGAAGCATCAGGGAAGAGAGAGGGAAGGTTATAAACTAAAAGGAGGCAGTTAGGGGAAAATATAAAAAGCTATTGGGGGATAATGGGGTAATGAAGCATAGGGAAAGGGGTCGAAAGGAAGGGGTAGGTTTAAAAATGAGTGTTAAGTGTTCAGCGAATTTGTGGTTACAGGAAAAAAAGGGGGGCAGGGGGGAAGAGGAGCGATTGGTGGAATGATGATTTAAAGAGAGTAGTAAGGGAAAAAATTAGCTATAAAGTTTTTTAAAAAGTAAAGTGATGAAAGGAGGGAAATAAGGAAAAAAAGAGAGAGGTTAAGAGAGGGTGAAGCAATGTAAAAGGAGCAAATAAGAGGGGGTGAGCTGTTTCAACAAATTTTGTTGAAAAAAGAAAAAGTTTTGGAGTGAGTTTAAAACAATTTAAGGAAGCCTAGAGAACAAAGGGATTTGTAGTTAAAAAATGGGAAGGAAGTTATTAAAGGAAGTTTGAGGTATTGGAAGATGGAGGGAATATTTAGGGAAAATTTTTAAAAGTTATGAAGATAGGGGAACTGTGATTTTTGGTATGGGCAAGGAGGGAAAAACATCTTGTAGGTGAGGAAGAGCCAGTTGTGAGGTGGGGAAGTTTGTGAGGGAGTAGGTAAAATAAAGGGGGGAAGGCAGCTGGATTGATGGGGTAAAGAAGAAATGTTAAAAGCAGGGGGGGATATATTTTGGAGTGGTTTTTGCAATTATTTTAAAAATGTAAGGAAGAGGGGAAGGGACCTAGGGGTTTGGGAGAGAGCATGCAAGTTCCTTTTTATAAAGGCAAAGGGATAAAAGAAGTGCAAAAATTTTAGGGGGTAAGTCGTTGAGTGTACCTGGTAAAAATGAAGGTAGATTATAATTAAAGAATTAAGATAAGACGGAAATAGGATAGCAGATGAACAAGGGGGTTAGGAAAAGGTAGGGGGTGTGTGGACCAGGTGTTTACAGTGAAACATATAAGTGAACAGTATTTAGATAAGGCTAAAGAGGTCTTTTGTGGCATTTATGGATTTGGAAAAGGCGTATGACAGGGTGGATAGGGGGCAATGTGGCAGATGTTGCAAGTGTATGGTGTAGGAGGTAGGTTACGAAAGCAGTGAAGAGTTTTTACGAGGATAGTGAGGCTCAAGTTAGAGTATGAAAGAAAAGAGGGAAATTTTTTTCCCAGTAAAAGTAGGCCTTAGACAAGGATGTGTGATGTCACCGTGGTTGTTTAATATATTTATAGATGGGTTGTAAGAGAAGTAAATGCGAGGGTCTTGGCAAGAGGCGTGGATTTAAAAGAAAAAGAATCACACACAGGGTGGGAGTTGTAAACAGCTCCCTTTTTGCTGATGACACTGTGCTCTTGGGAGATTCTGAAGAGAAGCTGCAGAGATTGGTGGATGAATTTGGTAGGGTGTGCAAAAGAAAAAAATTTAAAAGGTAATACAGGAAAGAGTAAGGTTATGAGGATAACAAAAAGATTAGGTGATGAAAGATTGAATATCCAGTTGAGGGAGAGAGTATGGAGGAGGTGAACGTATTCAGATATTTGGGAATGGACGTGTCCAGCGGATGGGTCTATGAAAGATAGGTTTAATCATAGAATTGATGAGGGAAAAAGAGTGAGGGGGTGCACTTAGGAGTCTGTGAGACAGAGAACTTTGTCCTTTTGGGGGCAAAGAGGGGAATGTATGAGAGTATAGTTTTACCAACGCTCTTATTTTGGGTGTGAAGCATGGGTGATGAATGTTGCCCGCGAGGAGAAGGCTGGAGGCAGTGGAGTGTCATGTCTGAGGGCAAGTGGTGGGTGAATATAATGCAGAGAATTCGAGTTTGGAAGTTAGGAGGGGGTGGGATTACCAAAACTGTTGTCCAGAGGGCTGAGGAAGGTTGTTTTAGGTGGTTCGGACATGTAGAGAGAATGGAGCGAAACAGAATAACTTCAAGAGTGTATCAGTCCCGTAGTGGAAGAAGGCGGGGGAGGGTCGGCCCAGGAAGGGTTGAGGAGGGGTAAAGGAGGGTTTTTTGTCAGGGGGTTGGACTTTTTAGCGGGCATCGTGAGCGTGTTTGAAGG